TCTGTCAAGGATTTCCACTCACTATTACTGACAGATCATCAATCATGTGAAATAAACCAGTTTTTGTTTCTTTTTACAGGGGGTAGGGATGGGGTGAGGTGGGGGTAGTTTTACTTTCTTCAGCGCTTGCTTTGAGCCTTTTTGTGGTTGTTGCCAACCATATCATTCCTTTCTTTTCAGTTTGTACCTTCATTTTCTCACTGAAACTCTGCAAACAGATATAGAACTATCAATCTTTTGTATACTAAACTCTTCCATGGCTAGTGAAACTGTTGTATCAGATCACTCTACACCCTCTGAGGTATTCTAATTTTTTTTTCTTGAATTTAAGGGATAGTTTCAAAAGATTTATTCTGTTTCTGGGCTAATCTTACTTTGATTTCTAGTATCTTATACTTTCTGTGTAATCTTACTTGGTGATCCTTTTGGCTGTAATAGAGTATTGAGGAAGACTTTCAAATTAGTTTATGCTTTTCAATTCACTGAAACTTTTACTCCATGCTGATGATATTTAGTATTAATTCGTCAAGGTATAGATTCAAACAGAAACAGGAGAGTTAAAATCCAGAAAGTATATCTAGCTTTATCCTTAGATTAGGCATAAATAACACACAGTGGCAGAGAAAATTTATATTTCTGTTTTCAGATACTTGCAACTGTGTAATTTATCTATTTTCTGCTTAATAAGAAACTCCAAGAATCTTCAGAACTACAGCAATGATCAATAATATATCTTGTGAGGTGAATTCGATGGTACTGCAAATCTTGTTTATTATACCATCGAATCATGTGGAGACTGAAAAATTCAATATTTTACTTTCATTTTCATGTTCAATCAGCTCTTGATGAGGGTTGAGAGTGCTGGGAAATTGTAACACTGTCTAAGCAGTTTTTGTTTTCTTGTTGTACCTTTCCTTCTTCAAACTTCCTTTTCTTTACTCGGGTTTTAGCTCAACGGCAACCCTTTTAGAACACAGACGACTTCTTTTTACTATTCTTAGACTTATTCGTGTTTAATTCGTTTACTGCAGCAAGTTGAGAAAGAAGAGGTGAAAACTATGGAACACGATAAGGGTCCTCCACCTAAGGGAACTGTGGAAAACCCAAAAACTGAGGAATCTCCATGTGTAGCAGCCCCTTTGGCTGAAACAGAAGCTAAGTTTGAGGAAAAGAAAATGGAACTTCCTGCAAAGGCCGAGGACTCACCCGAAGAACAAAAGATTGAAGATAAGAAGGTTGAGCTTCCACCGACTGAAGAAATAAAGAAAACTGAGGATACTCCCATAATTGAACCTTGTGCGGAAACTAATTTAGAAGTGGCAAAAAGTACTGTGCCTGAACCAGATACACGTGACGTTTCAGAATCAACGCCTGAGACTGTTAAATGCCAATCAGAGGAGAAGTCGGAAACTGGGAGTGATGAAAAACCAGAGGTCGAATCCAAGGTGGAATTTGTTGAAGAAAAGCCAAAGGAGGAGCCTAAGATTGTTGATGTGGTTGAACCAACATCAGTTGAGGCTGTTGCTTTGGTTGAATCAGAACCAACCGAAGTTAAGCCGGTTGAGCAGCCTCCAACTGAAGAAATGAAGAAAACTGAAGATACCTCCTTAGTGGAAGCTCCTGTTAGAGATGATTTAGAAGTGGCCAAAGATACTGTGCCTGAACCAGATGCAGCCAACATCTCACAATCAACACCGGATGATGTTAAATGTCAGTTGGAGGAGAAGTTGGAAACTGAGGCTACTGAAAAAACAGAGGTGGAATCTAAAGTGGAGTTCGTTGAAGAGAAGCCGAAGGAGACGCCAAAGATTGTTGATGTGGCCGAACTGTCACCAGTAGAACAAGTAGAAGTTTCAAAAGATGAGTCTATAGGTGAAGAAATTTCAAAACCAGCTCCTTTTGTAGAGGAGGAACCAGCAGTGCAATCTGAAGTTACTGAACAAACTGATAAAGAACCTCCGACAGTCGAGCTGGCAGCACAAGTTGAGGTTGAAACTCCAACTGATAAGCCTGAGAAGATCATGGATTCGAAGGAAGAATGTTCGGATGAAGTAAAGCTGGATGTTCCAGTAACTGAAGTCGAAACAAAAGAAGTGGAAATCTCTCTGAAAGAAAAGACAGATGTTGAAAATGAAGAGAAGGAATCTGTCAAGGAAACCAATGTGCTAGAGGGAACATCAAGGGAAAAAGCTGACCCCGGAAAGATTGAAGTAGAACCTGAACCCCCACAACCGAAAACTGAAGATGAGAACGAAGAGAAATGCTTCGTAGCTGAAGAATTGGCTAAACCAGAAACAAAAGAAGCGGAAATATCTTCCACTGAAAAGACAGATGTTAAAAATGAAGAGAAGGAATCCGTCAAGGAAACCAACGTGCTAGAGGGAATATCAGAAGAAAAAGCTGACCCCGGAAAGATTGAAGTAGAAACCGAACCCCGAAAACCAAAAACTGAAGATGAGAATGAAGATAAATGCATTGTAGAGGAATTGGCTAAACCAGGAGCAAAAGAGGTTGAGGATGCTACTAGTTCCATTCCTAAACCGGAAGAAGAAGATGTTGTGAAGGAAGTTACTTCCAAAGACACTGAACTGGTTGCTGAAAATGGAAGAAAGAAAGACGAGACTATTGCTTCTACTGAAACATGCAAAGATGCTTTACTCGAAGGGAAGGTGGATGAAGAAGAAACTAAGGACGCCGAGAAGGTTGAAGACAAACCCAAAATAGAGGAAAATGTACAAGATACTGAAGTATCCCAAGATGCGCCTAAAGAAGATGTACCGGTGAAGACTACTCAAAAGCAATCAAATAATATAATCAAGATGGTGAAGCAATCACTGGTAAAGGCAAAAAAAGCCATCACCGGAAAATCCACTAGCTCAAAAACACCAACCATCGAAACAAAGGATGATGGCAAAGCTAAATAACGCTTAAAATCTTATAAGAGAAGGTAAAAGGTAAAGAACACTAAGGATTACAAAAAATTTGGGATTTCATTTTGTGTGTGTGACATATTGGTCTGTAAAAGTTGTGTTACTGTTTATTGTTGGTTTGCCTTTAGATATACTAGTGTTTTGCTAGGAAGGTGATTTTTTTTATCATTATTTGGCTGTGTAATGATGCAAGCAGTTATTTAATTTATTGTTTGAGGGTGTGTATACAGTTCTGTTACATTTGTATACTATGTTGCTAATGTGTCATTTGTGGCAGCATTTTCATTTCTCTTACCTCCTTTGAAGTATTGTATTGAATTTATTGATTAGATAACTTGTGTACTTTGGCATGCTGTAAAAGGGACGTCCCATCACAATACGTCAATTCTTATCATCAATGCATGTTTGATACATAGTATTGAATGAAACACTAATGACAAAAAACATTTAAAAACTTGTTCATACTACCGAAAAATAATTAAGTTATTAAATAATCAAGGCTAATATCTAGAACCTTTGAACTGAATGAGGCTTAAAGCTTTAACAACCCTAAGCCAGAACGTGGCAATTGGTCAAACTTACAATGATCACAAAGGTAAAAAAAAAATGAATCTTCTTTTGGAAAGCAAGCAAAGCAACTTGGCAGGAGGGCATATCATTCAAGAAGGCATGCCCTCTCTTCCCAATTAGGACTTGCACTAGAATGACAACGGCACAGGTTTTCTTTGACATGAAGAGCATCTATCAAAAAAGAATGCAATAATTGGGTTGCACAGACCACGTGCAATAAAGTCACCAACTTTAACTCATAGAAAGATCATCTATAATTACTGAAAAGAATAAAGAGAATTGCAAGATTTACACATCTAATCAAGCAATTTTCCTTGTATCAAGATATGCTCCAAGTTTGAAAGATCTTCAAAACATTAAGGCTTATTGGTGCAAAATACTCCCACTTTTCGGAATTAGTGAAAAAATCCCCCCATGAAACTTGAGGCGTGCAATACCTCCTTTTCCTCTATTTTCTCAATAAAAAACTATAAAATGATTAATATACCCCCACATTTAAATAAAATAAAAATAAATAAAGAACTAATTACAATTGAAATTCCAATTTTTTTTTTTTAAAAAAAGTGTAAACAAGTCCCAAATAAATTATTAAAAAATTCTCTTCCCCTTGCGCTACCCTCTTCCCACCACCACCTTTGATGTTAGGCTTATTGTGACTCATTTGCACTTTTTTTAACATATCCGTTACAATGAAAATTCGAAATATAAATATTATATTGACATTCGAAGAAAATGAATGAGAGAATCCAGTTTGAAACTGAGTTGCAAACATCTTTCTTCCCTCTATATTTCTGAATTATCACATTAGAAAGATCAAAATCCAACTTCGATGCAAAAACTCGATTAATGTAAATGCTCGTTTGGTAGGACTTCTAAAAAAGTCAAAATCTAATGTTTGTATAATTTTCTAGAAGCGTTTTATCTGACTAGAAGAACTTTTAAAGAAAGCTGACCTAAGGCAGCTTCTTCAAGAAGCAAAAGTCCTGCCAAACTGGCCCTAAGACAATTACCATACCCTACTTCACTTCAAAAGAGAAGACATGGCATATAACAACATGGCTCAAATCCAAAATTTTGTACTCTCACATTCTCTCTTAAAAAGAGAGAAGATTCTTTAATTAGTAATTTTATAAATATGAAGACGTGTTTATAAAATCTGAAAACTGTGTTAAAAATTGTTGATACATACTTGAATACATCTGCAAAGTTCTAATTTCTATCACTGATACAACCGCATGAGTCATGTTGATTAATATAACATATTAAAAGGGGCAGATAACAGTTTCTCTTCAAAATAGAAAAACCTGTGCATTTTGTAGTTTACAGTTCTGGAGTTCAAATTCAGAAATGAAAAGTTTATTGTCATATTTTCACCTCGTTCAATGATCTATAAAAGCCGTCTTTTCATAACTATAGCCATAAGTTTTCTGGCACAGAACTGAGAGCTACTGTCTATCAGGAGGAATCCCTTCCATGGCATCAACAATATATAGTTCGTCTTTAATCACAACCTGCGCAGACATAAAAACTCTTGATTTAACTGATTATAAATAAACTACGGTGTGCATGTAAATAAATGGTCTGTGTAATGAGCTAACCGTCTTTTGTGCTAATATTAGTTGCATTGGTAGGGGTAGCATCTGCGCTCACACTAACATCCGGTCCTAGTTTATTCTCTTGCACCTCGGCAGGCTTGTGTAGAACCTCATTTGTTGGTTGCAGCTGAAGTGGAAAGAGAGAACGGGGTAAGACAAAATGAAGACAACAACTGAATAAGAACTGAAAACCAGTTGAACTAGAAGCTCCCTAGATTGATTAAAATTGTGCATATGATGCTTTGTTTGTTCAAGGGGAATAATTAGTTATGACAGGGATCCAGGGAAATGTAAGTGAATAATTCTGTTAACAATTGTTGGGCGTTCTCTTCGCTTCCCTACATGTATCCAATTATAGAAGTTGTAAATTCTCCATTTTGTTCCCTTTCCTTCCTGTCCATGGGCCTCAAAATAAGAGCCTGAGGGACAAGGTCAAAACTTTATTTATTTTAAATTCAATTTCAAAATGAATGAAATAAACTAAAAGTAAAAAGACAGATGGGAAACAATAGAAGTCTCATTCCAGAAGCACCTGACTCGCAAAATAAAAGGATGGGTTAAGAAACCAGAACAATGTCGAAATTGCATTAAACTGGGCCGATATTAGGAAATTATACGAATACATGTTCCTTAAAAGAACACTTCAAGAGACTGGGCAGCAATTACTTGTACACTAGTATCAGTGGCAATTGAAGTGACATCAAGTAATATCTATCAACATCTACTTTTTATCTTTAACTTAGAAGAAGCAGAGGAAAAGAGAAAAGAATGACACACATCACTCAATATAGTAGTACCATACAATATCCCACTAAGTAGTGAGGTTAGGCCAATTAATCTTAGTATGACAACTTCTTGTAACTTGTAAAGAAACTCCAAGTTCTGAGGAAGAAGAAGAAGAAGAAGAAAAGGACAGCGGAAGAGTAATGGAAAAATAGAAGATGTAGAAGGAATGAGAACAGCAGGGCTAGACAAGACAATTCAACAGTGATTTTCCATTTTTTTTTTAATAATATCATAGCTCGAGTGTGAGCATACAAAAACCTCAAGAAGTTGCACATTAGTATTGGTATGAATAGTCTACTGGAATTTCACTTGGATGAACTAGTGTAATTGCAGACCATTAGCTTCCTTCTATGTTTGACACTATTGTGCCATGTCATGCATGCTCTAGCAAACACGGTAAAAATACCTATTTTGCCATATTCTAATGTTACACAACTCCAGGCATTAGAAGTAACGATAGAGCAATAAGTTAGTGACAAGAAACAATATTCACTTATGACTTAAGAACCGAGCTTCAAGAATTTATGTAAAGCCCAATACTCATTAATATCATTCTTGTTATTTATCACTCTCTTCTGTGAATTATGCTATACCTGCTTCAGTTTGGCCCATCTGAAACTCAGAAAAGAGAAACCAAAAAGGTACGAAAACTAAAAATTCAAAAGAGGGAAGAAGATTTAATGTAGCCAAGGAGTATTGGACAACCTAGCTATTTATCTAATGCTCATCAAATAACCAAAAAAGAAAAATTCATGAACCATCATTTCATAGCATTCAAATTCTACTACAATTTTTATTTTCAAGAAAATATGCCTTACCAAGTGACGATTTATCTGAAAATAAAAAGAATGAGAGAAAACGTGTAACAAGAACAAACCTGATTAGATGTATGGTTCATTGTGCTGCTAGCTTCAGCATTGTGCATCAGCTGTGAATTCTTGTTTCTAATTGGATCCTCGGAGTTTGTGGTCAGAGATGTACTAGGCACATTCTTGCGACCTCCACTTATTGAGGTATTGAAACCCACGGCAGAACTTAGAGGGCAACCAGGTAAAGGAACCAAGGGTGCCTGTGGGACTGAGCCAGGAAGTCCATGACTGGGATGCCCAAATACCTGTCGGTTAGAACCAGCAGTCCTCGGAAAATTTGTGGAACCTGGCATTGGAGAAGAGAAATGTGATCCTTGCATGGGAGGTACTGGAAAAATAGGACATCCGGGAGTTCCATTCATGTCTAGCATACCCATCCCAAAACCAATTCCCATTCCAACACCCATGGGTGAGAAATGTGGCATGTGTGCAGGATGTATGTGTTGCATTCCTGTGGGAAACATCATTGGTGGCATACACAACCCGGCTCCCATTGACATAATCTGCACAAAGAGGAGTGTGCTGGGATTGTAATTGTATCGATAAACATACCCTAAACCATAGTGGTTAAAGTGAATACATTCCTGTGATTTTTCAATTGAATGTAATTCTCCCTATTCTTGAGAAGCGTCACCTTACCTGTACCTGCAGTTGAAGGGTCTTAAGATATTCAATGGCTTCATCAAGCATTGAAGCTTTATCTGCCTGTTTGTAATGGAGGAAAAAGAAACGGTTGTAAGCATTATCTACTTTGAAGTTCAGAAATTCATATGAAGTAATCTAGAATCCTGTTGGAGGGAGAACTTGAGAAGATCAAAAGAATGGATGGGTTGAGTTCATAGACCAAAAGCTTCACAAAATAACTCACTCATTAGCCCTTAATTGATACTTTAACCTCTAGGTCTTCAGCTTTTAAGTTATGAAGATCACAATGAATTCATTAGACTGCATTATTACCTTATTGCAGTTGGGTATAAGTTCTTGTAATGCGCGCATTTTTTCATTGATCCTATCCCTTCGCCTCTGCTTACACATGCCATAAATGGGATGATCAATGTATTGTTCTAATAAGGAAAAACCACAAATACAATTCAATTTCATATAGTTCTGAATTATTACTGCTCACCCTTTCAGAAAGATTATGCACTTCTGCAGCTCGACTTCTCTTGGAACCAGTACCTCGTCGAGCAGAAGTTGCTTTTTTAACACTGATAGATTCAGTTTCAATATCCTGCATATAAGATGGTAAGATAAATAGAAAAATCAAACAAGGACAGTACAAATGGTGCTTGCTCAGCATACTTACATCACTATGGCAATCAGACTCCTCAATGTCACTGAATTTTCTCTTGCTATTATGCATCTGATCGCATGAAGCTCTATCAGCACAGTTGCCGGAGCCTACAGAAGAAGAAGTAACTGCAGGCTCAACAGTTTTCTCACTATCCGGAACTCCATTACTCGCATTGGAAGCATTACTTGGAATCAGGGACTTGTGATTTTTAACATAATTTTCTCGGTTTAAACACTCCGTTTGTTCAGCAGGAGCCAACTCCTTAGGTGGCTTTGATACTGGCAGTCTTGAATCGAACTCGTTGCATACCTTAGTAGATGGAAGATGGATGTCAATATCCTTTTCCATGCTATTTAACCGTTTAATGAGTGTGGATTTGACAGGATTGCTGTTATTGGCAGCAGAACTTTTCAGGTTGGCATCTATCCTTTTCACACCTGATGATCCTGAAATAGGCATTCCATCAGTGTTTGGAAGGTTACCTCTCATAAGAGCAGCCGGTCTTGAGAAATGGGAAAAGTTCAACAAATTTGAACTACTACTGGGAATCTCTACATTCCGTCTCTCCAACTTTACACAGTTAGAATCATTTCCAATTGCTTGACCTTGAGCTGAGTTTCCAAATATAGCATCTGGAATGTTACTCGTATTATTGCTAATAATATCTGAAACTCCAGATCCTAGGGAAGGATCTGACGTCTGGCCTTGCTGAGAAAGCCATGGACACGAAAGGCGAGCTCTAGAAGAAGAAACCTTCGATGCATTCCCGTCGTTATGCAAATAACTTTCTGACTTGTCAAAACTACTTCTCTTGTTGATTTCAAAGCTCGATTGGGCAGACATTCCATTAGCCGTAACACCAGATATTTCTGGTAAGAGTTCAGAACAGTAATCCTGCGGCATACCATCATCTATGGGATAATTTAGCCAAGGAACTATTTCATCATCTTGACTTATATCCAATTCTCCCGAGGACACCATAGGCGAAACATCATTCAAGATAGACTCAACGCCACTAAATTTTCCTATCCTTGATGTGGTGGAATTTCCTATACCAGCGTCTCGAACTCTTGGCATGTGAGATTGTAAATTGTGAATCATAGGGCCTTTTGTGCCTCTACTAGACTGACCCTGCATCACAATCTGACCATTCTCCCAAACTAGCTCAACCAACTCATTCTCAGCTCTGCTTGCAAATCCACCAATATCTTATTATCACATTAATTAATATACCCAAAATCAACTATACATTTACAAACTTATATTCATTTCAACAAGCATAGTAGGGTAAAATAATACCAAAACTATAGCACAAGTAAGCTTACCGAAAAGGGAGATCATTTTGGCATTTGTTCTGATCACCAGAATCAAGATTCCCCCTCGCCATTCTCAGAAACTCGGAGAGGGGCATTATGGAAAACTCATACAATTGAAACCTAGAATTGCTCAAATTTTTGCAAAGATGTGTATTAGCCCATGACACTGTGTGTTTTCCAAGATCCACCGATGAAACAACTCCTATCAAAGTCCTGATAAACTCAAATTAATGACATCAGTACAGCACTAATCGACGTTCAGATGAACACCTACAAAAATTCATGACATCGATAATTGACAATACACTCAGCTACACGACAATTTTCCAGCTGAGTTTCAGGATATGTATAAAAATAGGAAACAGAGAAAGATATAAGCACAAATATTTATATATATGTAAGCGCTGAGCATGTATGGCTTCAATTAGTAACGTCTTAACCCATAAAAAATATATAGGATCCAGAACAGGAGTAAAAATATTATTAATTTTCAGTCAAAACCCAATTCTTTAATATTTGAGAATAATCTAATCTAAAGAAATTACCAAATTGAAATTGTTTAGTTATATATATAAAAATTCAATCTTTTTTATTCAAATTCAATCATTAAGAGATAAACCCACATGAGGTTTCCTAAATTTATTAAAAATCCACTGTTCATTAACTTAATCCCTTTACCACGAAGTAAAATATACTCTAAGAAACGCAAAAAGAACCCACCTCTTTCATTAGCTCACAGAAAGGACAAGCTGTCACCAGTAATCAGTTTGCAACTCCCAAAAGTTGAAAACTTTAATCCTGAATTTTTTACAATACCCAAAAATCTTCCAAGATTTTCTCTATGAAATCCCTTTCTCACTGCGGCCAATGATGATTTTTCTTGAATCCACCAAAAATTTTGCTAATCCAAATGTATTATACAGCTTTTTTTCTTTGTGAAAGGTACATCCTTCACTACTCACCAGCTAGCCACTTGATTTTGAGCGAGAAGGCTGTTTCTACTTTCTTGAAAATATACAGATGTAGAGAGGGAAAAAAAAATATGAAGAGAGAATATAAAAGGGCTCGTAGATGGCGGCGAAAGGCTTGCCAATTAGAAGTGGAAGGTGGTATAAGAGCTTTTGTGCCAAATGATTAAAACACTTCAAACTTTTAACTACAAAAATAAACAGAACTTGTCAATTTCCTTTTTCTATTTTCATCCATGAGAATTTCTTGTTTGTGATAAGTTCATATTTCGAAATTTGTGCACTGTGGAGAATAAATTACACTGAAAACAGTTTTTTTCTTTTTTTTTTTGGGAAGTATTTCAATGTGGGCCATTGTAACGCAAACCGTTCTGTTACATCTTCACCTTCTTAGGACAGAAGGACACTCACTGTAGTTCATCAATTGTCAACACTATTTTTGCATACGAGCAATGCTATATGTACATCAATCGTGATAATTTGGTTGACATTTTCTTTTTATTTAGAGGGAATTTGTGCAATAATGTGATGAATAAATTCAAAATCAAGAATACAGATGTTGTTGCGTAAAAGAGTGTATAAAAGGTGCATAAGAGACTTAAGTGTAGCAAGATTGTTTTCGTACTATTGTTGGATATTAGCTAATTTACTAGGTTTAGGGGCGGAGCCAGAAAGATACATTAGGTTGGGTTGAAATTTTTTTTTTCAATGAACTTATATCATAAAAGATGTTCTAAACCACAAGGTAAAACAAAAACTAGACTCAAAATCTAGCAAAATCATGCCCGATTAACTGATTATGACAAACCGTTCAAAACTCATTGAACCGGCCAGTTCAACCGTAAACCAATGAACTAGTCGTGGTTTGGTGCTTTTCCTGATTATTTTTTTCTTTTTTAGTTTTAAAAAATTTAACTTCATGAATAGACCTCATAACTTACAATTCAAATGCCCATTGAAAACTATTTGATGACATGCTCATTTTATAGATGCACTTTTCCCAAATGATTTCATAAACTTTCAATGTGGGATAGTGACATAACAAAAAAATATTAAAATTCCCATCAAAATCATTTTCCAAATGTATGTTTAATTGACTAATTCGATTTTGAATCTCAACTAATTAAATT